CACCTCTCTGCGATCAAGTCGCTGGACAAACGTCGCCCTGTTGCTCAGATCGTGCTGCGCTGTTGGCTGGAGGGGCTGGGGACGATTGGGGTTGTAGTACGGCCTCCCCAGAGGAGAGCTGGAGAAGGCGGGTGGAAAAAGAAAACGCAAACCCTCGGAAAAAAAACCCCATATCAAGCAAAGCCTACTGCTAGCACCAGCGTCACTCATTCACACATCACGCAGAACCCAGGTTTAAAAACACACCCACACAACTTGCAGGGCTCACATCATTTGCGAAGCGGGCAAAAACTGCAAAAGCTTAGGGAATTGCCGCGTGACCTACAACCCCAACCCAATTCCCAACGGGTTGAACCTCTTCGTTCACCCGTTTGTTCAAAAGGCCCAAATTGCAGGCCTCCTAGGAAGGTGGTGTGCGTGCGTGTGTGTGTGTGTTACCGTCAACAAGGGTCTTATTTTGGGCTGAGAAGCGAGATCAAATTTCTTTCCGTTCCCTGCAGGCCTATGGCTCAAGCAGGACCGCCCCACGAGAGGGCAAGACGATTCAAACCAGTCCCCTTGACTAGCTGGTTACCAGCTCCAAAGCAGAAAAAGGAAAGCTGATGTTTGAGTCCACGTTTTTTTAACAGCCACTTCCAGGTCGTCGTCGTCGTCCTCCTCCTATTATGCTGATCAAAAAATGCATCTGTCTGCCTTAGGAGGGATGTAATGATCTCAACTGGCTGGAAGGCGGAAAAATAGAAAAATAAAATAAAATAACGAAGTATGCAACTTGGGAGCCAGAAAAGGCCGATGCTCAGCATTTGCCCACCTAGAAACATTCATTCTGGGACACAGAAAGGCAGGAACGTATGACTAAGAGTTATATGAATGAATGAATGAATGAATGAATGAATGAATGAATGAATGAATGAATGAATGGAGTCCCTATCTGGGAATTTATTTATTCCCAAGATTGTAACAGCCACTGGCATGTTCCTCCCCTCTCCAAACCCAGCTGTTTGGAGCTACTGCCCTCCAGTGAGCAAAGAACATTTTCCCCTGCTAATGTATATTACAAATAGACATTACCCAGGCACAAGATAAAACCCTTGTTGACGGTAACACACACATTACCGAGGCATCAGAGGCACAGACATAGCTTTCAATGGAACATCATTACAAGGAGATGTTGCTCAATAGCTTTTGATGGCCGTGCAGGGCTAGGAAGAGCTGTAACTAAGCCGCTGAAGGAGACAGAAGTCTTCATGGCCCCACAAAAACCAAGATTCCTTCCCCAAGCGTTTGCCAAGAGCAAAACTCAAGTTTCTTAAGAGGAAAAAAAAGAATTTATTCTCTAGAATCTTGTGGCCACGGCGCCCTCTACTGGCTTGGAATGGCACTACACATCTGTTCAAGAGTTTAAAAACCCCAACCGAAGCCGACAATTAAAACTTTTTTTTTTTTGAGTTAACAACATGTCTTAAGAAAGGGGGGGGGGGGGGATGTAGCCAGGTTTCTACCCCATCAGACCCTCTGCCCATCCCTAGGTCGGTTTAAACCTAGTTCACGGATCGCACAAGAGTTGTGAGCCAGCTCTACGCAATGGTGTGGTTCTCTCCTGAAAAACAAGATGTTAGTCCTCATTGTGCACTTGGAAGGGGGGAAGGGGGAGGCCTAATTAAAATGAAAAAACGGGGTGTGTGGAGCCATAGTCCACTGCTGAAGGCTTTCGGACGGGAATCTCGTCTCGGCCAATCTGGAGCGATCGCTATCGATCGTTCATCTCGACAGCAAATTTAGCAGACACGCTTGATTTCAAACCCAGGTTCTTGCCACGTCCTGAACAAACTGTGCTGGTTTAACCACCTCCCTTGCAAAAAGCTGCCTCTGGATCCGAGAAAGATCCTCGGCAGGCCTCGCCCATCTCTGCCAACCCCCCAAACGTTCACGCAAGCCCCCGGCATTGCGGGCATACATTTCCCTCCCCTTTTTAATTGCCAGAAATTCTGCAATGACACCAGTCAAAATAGCTCTTTTCCCATACTGGGAAGAATTGTGACAAAAAATCCAGGGCCGAGGAGGAGAGTTTGATGAACGTGGGGTCAAGAGGGGGAAACGGGGCTCCGTATCTTCACGAACACCTCAACACTTACAAAAGAGCCCCTTTTTGAAGAACAAAAGCGAATCACCGCTCCTGGGCATTTGGCAAGCCCCAGTTTGCAAACCTTGATTTAGCCCGCGTAGGAATTGGGGAGGGTTGATCAAACTAGCAGAATTTGTCTTCTCCTTTGGGGTCTGGCCTGACCGATTTCCGCTCCTGCATTTCTGGTGGGAATGCAAAAATCACCCCAGAAGTCGCTTCCGAGTGCAAAGTTGGCCATTCTCCATGCGGGTTGACTTCTGCATTTTTGCAACGAGCAACCATGCACGATGAGAGATCATCGTGGGAATCCTGGTTTTGAAAAGAAGTCCCTTCTTTTTTTCCTGCTTTGTTTGGGTGGAAGATCAAATGGATCCAGAACTACAGCTGGAGGGAGGTGGAAATTCAGGAAGCAAAATTAGTTTCACCCTAGAAGAAATTAAGAAGAAGCCCACGATGAAGACCTGTTGTTTAGTTTTATGAGGAGGAACCATTCTGGGGAGGAAGATCGAGTTATCGTTTTAACAAAGAAGGTAATTTTGACACCACGTTCATTTTACGGATTCCGCACCGTGTCGAAACCAAGAAATCTACGTTACGAAATTCAAACCCGCTTGGAAACTATCTGCGGGTCCCAGTGATATTTTCCCACCTGCTCTTGTTCCGGAGGAATGACGTACGTTTCCCCGAGAATTTTATTTTTTTTTGCCAGTCGCTCTATAAATCCTTGTACGAATGTTTCGGAAGCCCCCACTTGGGAGCCAAAGAGAAAATGGAAATGGCTGAAATTAGGAAACGGGCCACGGGGCGATTCGCAGGAGCGGTCAACTTGAGGCGCGTGACTAGGGACTTTTAGAAAAAAAAAGATTAATTCAAAATGATGACTACAGCAGAAGTACAGCGGGACTGATTGTCCTGCGAGGAATCAGAGAAAGGACAAGGGAGAAGAATTTTTTTTTTTCTTTTGAAAGACAAAGGGGGAAAGACGTTAGAGGCCATTCCAGGCTCAGCCTTGTTGCAAAGAGTTTTTTTTCCTTTTCTCGACGGATTGAGATTCCTGCCCCATGGTGGGGGAAGCTGGATTCCCCCAGAAGTTTAGGGGCCGCATTGAGGAAGATGGGAAAACAAAGAACGAAGACATGATGTTGGGTATTTTAAAAAATCCCCCTCCGTGGGGCGGCTGTGGGGGGAAAGCAGCTTTCCATCCCCACAGCTGGGATGGTCATTTATGATGGGGGGGCTGGCTGGGAAGAGGGCACCCCCACAATCAGAATGAAAGAATCTATCCGTTGGAAGTTCATCTATCCGTCAGCTGGACAACATGGGCCTGTAACAGTCCCATGGCTGAGACCTTCTCCTCGTTCACCTGGAGATGTTTCTTCAGGAGGGGGGGAGGCTGTCGGCCATTCTTCTGGACCTTTCCAGCCCCCCAAGGCCCCCACTGCTCGTCTGTCCTCTCCCTCAAGACTCTCAGAATTGGCCACCGACCACTTCAGTCCAACTTGGAGAAGCTGCTGATGGTGACTTTCCGCTCCTGGCGGTTGACCACCAGCTCCTGAAGGTGCAGGGCGCCGCCACCGATGAAGCAGAAGGCCGGGCAGACGGGCCCCGAGCAATCTACCCCACACTCCCAAAGGCTGCGGAAGGAGACGGCGTCAAAGAACGTCACTTTGCTGTGTTCGTAGTCAAGACAGATGCCCACCCGGGGGGGCAAGGGCATGGTGGAGTTGCCGGGGTCCCGGGAGGTGAGGGACACCCCGTGGGACAGGAGGATTTTGCCCATGCCGATGGTCAGGAAGGCAAAGGGCGGCGATGACTCCAGGGTGGTGTCTTCGGCACCGCTGTCGTGCCCGCTGTCCGGGTCGTACCTGAGCCGGGGGAAAACAAACGGAAGGAGTTGGAAATTAACTTTTCCTGCTTTTCTTCGGTGGAACCGAAGAAGAAGGAAGACGCTGCCTCGCAGAGCAGGTCACAACCCCCTCCCCAAATCTCAACCAGGGCACTAGATGGCATCGCTAAAATGCTGATGTTTAGAAGAACACGCTGTCTCTCGTCTTCGGGGTGAAATGGGGCCTCGGTAAACTCCCCTTCACCCCCACTTGGCAAAAGGAGCCCCAAATTTGAGCCTTTCTGAGTTGGACCTACCCAAGAATTTTCAACAGCTTCACCCAAGATGCGATATCTTGAACTTACAGGTTCAGTTATTTCTCCAGCTTGCCCGCTTTAAGCTGGCTGGGGAATTCTGGGAGTTGAAGTCCACATGTCTTAAAGTGGCCAAGTTGGAGAAACACTGTCCGAGACCTTCCTTCTTCTCCAGAGATGCGATTGAACAACCTCTACCCTTATTTCCTTCCCGTCCCTCCAAACGTTTGCTCACCTGGGGCTCACCACGTCTTGGGGCACCTGGAACCACTCCTGCAGCTTGCTCTCCAGCCCCACGCCCACCTTGACCAGGTAAGAACTGGGGTCCACACAACAGGCCCAATAGCTGCGTCCTTGGGTGACCGCCACGTCGCCGATCACCAGGTCAACTGAAAGATGGCAGCTGGTCATCAAACGCTCGGCGGCAAACAGCATGGGAAGACCGGGGACGCTGCGGACCGCCCGCTGATCCTTGCTGATCGCCAAGCGTTCTCGGTTGAACCCCCACCGATTGTCCAGAAAGAAATTCAGCACTTTCGGGGGGAAGGGGATGGGAGAAGAGAACAGGGAACAAAGAATTAGAAAGACCCTAAACCATATGAGATCAGGAGAGGGGGGCAGGGAGCCACGAGAATTAGAAAGACCCTAAACCATATGAGAAGAGAAGGTGAGTAGAGAGCCACGAGAATTAGAAAGATCTTAAACTATATGAGAACAGGAAAGGGGACCAGGGAGACACAAGAATTAGAAAGACCCTAAATCATATGAGGAGAGGGGAGCAGGGAGCCATGAAAATTAGAAAGACCCTAAACCATATGAAAACAGGAGAGGGTGAGTCCAAGCTACAGGTTGGGTAAAGCTGCTGTAAGTCAGACTGTTCCTAACATTTGTAGGACTGGACTGGTAGAGAGGAAAACAAGAGGCTTTACCGGGCGCAGGAGGTGTACGCAAGTAGATTTCCTCGCTGTAGTCTCCAAACCCGGCCTTGTTGTAACCTCGGACGCGCAGCACATAGACGCTGTCGGTGTCCAGATACTCCACGACGGCGCTGGTGCCTCGCACTTCTTCCCGCCGCTGCCACAGCTTGAGGGCCTTGCCCTTGGGCTCAGCCCGCCGGAACTCCACCGTGTAATGCCAGGCGGCCGGGGAATGCTGCGGCAGACGCCAGCAGAGGAAGATCTGATCGTAGGCGTAGGTGCGCTGCGTGTCGATCACGGGGGCCTCCGGCGCTGCAACAGGAGAGGGAGAGAGGAAGGCGCGGGACGTCAGACCGCGGCTCCACGGTAGATCCGAGCGCTTTCCGGACTGACCGCAGACGACCAGGAAAAGGTTCCGAAGGCAGAGAAGAGGCGGGCGTGGGCCCAGAGGAACGTCGGAGGAGGAGAGGGACAGAGTCGGGGGACAGGCAAGCTGCTGAGAAGAATCCGGGGGGCAAAGAGAGACTGAGCGCAAGTCAGGGAAGGGCAGGGAAGGGGGGAGAGGCGGAGAAGGGAAGAGAGACGGAGGACCGGGGCTGAGAAAGGCGAGAGAAGAATGGCTCGAGGGGACAGACCGTGAAGACAGAGGAAGGGGTGTGGAGAGAAGGCTGATTTGGGACACCAGCAAAAGCGAACTAAATTTAAGCCCTGGCCCCCAACGTGGTTCCCATGGGTGCCGAGGTCCCCAGGGTTCCCACGGTCTGCCGGGCTCCCTCTGCTGGGGTTTCGTTCTAAAGAAATTCATTCCAAAACGAATCCGTTAAAAAGGATCCGTCTTTGGGACGGCAGCCGACTGCGAAGCCAAGTCTCGGCCTCCCGACGACCCGGGGCTGAAGGAGCGGGCGACTGCAGCCAGAGGGTTGTCTGGAAGCGTGCCCGGGAAAAAGAAAGGTAAGGCAAGGGGAGGGGAGGATCTCACGACAGCAGCACACACTGGGGTGGGAGAGCGCAACCGCGCTCGTTTGCCTTCTAGGTAACCCGGGTTTGACGAGCGATCCTGGCCCATGTTTTGCAGAGCACGCCCTCAAAACCTCCAGTGGGCCCACAAGCCCCTTGATGGAACCTGTGCCCCGCCCAGTGTGGCTGAACTACAAGTCCCAGCAGCCCCAGACTTCCAAAGTGAGGAATGCTGGGAACTGAAGTTTGGGCAACGTGGGGCGGGAGCGAAGATTCCCACCCCTGAAGGATGCAAGTCCCTGAAAAGCAATCAAGGAGAAACAGCGGCGAATTGCAGGCAATCAGCCGCGTGCTTTTAGAAGCTACAGATGATGATTAGAAGTAAGCTTTTTTGCGCTCAGGGGTGTCTTCAGCTGATGAGGCAAGCACACTTTGATTAAATGCTGATTAAATTGGCAAAAAAGTGAACACTTCAATGAAAACTTGGTTGGCGCTCTCTAAAGGTTTTACAAAGATCGTTCTTACTTACGGCGGCTTTAATTCCCCTGATGGCTGGCAAATTTGGCTCTCATCAGTTCCAACCCAAGAAGGCCGGAACGTAAGAGGAATATATTCACGGTCTTCCAAAATCCCTGGTTTTTTATTAATAGGGCAATCTTATTATGCTTTAGTAAGTCTCGTGGGCACGAAGTCAAGCCTCATTGCTTTCAGTGGGATTCATTCCCTAAGAAACTCTAGAACTATGGCCTCGAAACATCTCATAGTCTACAAGGCACTCAACGCATGCACAGGAGCTATATGGGATTCTCGGTCTTAACCACTACCCTGCAGAGGAAGCTAGGGCAAGAGGCACAGCAACCTAATCTGAATCAGACACCGCTTTACCGGTAGTCCTCATTTAGCATCTGCCTTGTTTTGCGACTGTTTGCAGTTATGACGGTGGTGAAAAAGTAACTTTGCGACCAATCCTCGCATTTACGACCTTCGCAGGTCTGTAAAGCAAAGGAAAGCTGAAGGAAGATCGTAAGCCCAGTCAGTGAGTGACTGCTTCACTTAATGACTCAGTTGCCAGTCCCAATTGTGGTCATTAAACGAGGACAACCTGTATTAATTAATGGCCATTTCTGCCTCTTTCAATATATATATTCAGCTTTGTGTGTTTACTGGTGCTTTGGAACTAGCGCCGTATGGAAGTGGTGAAAAACATGGGGATGAGATGTTCAGTTGGAATACAGTTCCCATAATGCACCCCTAGCAAGGCTTGCTGGCTGAGAGAACAATGTGTACTGCTGGCCTACATTTATGGAAGGCATCAGATTGGAGAAAGCAGTTATAACTCTTAAAGGACGTCAACTTTAAAGGCTTGGCAACAGGACACTGCAGCAAAGAAGGCAGGTATTTTTTGTGCCAGCCATCTGTCTGTGCCCTCTCTGCGATACTCCATTCCATCTCTATCATATCTAGACTGAAAAGATGCCCTCACTTTGCCTTCTTTTTGGGGCTCCACAGCCAGGTTTCCACTATCCAGAAGACCTCCTGAGCTGCTCACCTGCCTCCCCTATAAAGCCCTCTTAACATGCCTTCCCTCCACCGAAATCCCACCCAGGTTCAGCCCAGCCAATCCAGGGCAGAAGCATTTCAACAAAAGAAGCCGTGGGGAGTTTTGCAAAAATTGGGAGAGGCAACGGAAGGGAAATGCAGGGAGCTGGCCGGGTAGGGAAGGTCGCAACGTCTCTACAGCGCTATCCGTCGCCATCCCCACGTGCCAGAGTTGCTGCAAACCTTGTGGATCTTTCTGCCACCATGAGGACTAGAATGCTTTTTCAACAAGGGCACTAGCAAACCCTCAATCCAGGGTGTTCTGGATCGGAAAGTCCCAAAACAAGGCCTGAGGATGCAGGGGGTGGGGTGCAGGATGGATGTGGTGGGAAGGGCAGGATCAGACCCAGAGAGACTGTCAAAGGGGTGGAGGAAAAGAAAGAGAAGTGGGGAGGACGGGAAAGGATCGGGGGGGGACGGGAGCAGTTGAGTGGGACGTGACTTGCCTCAATTTACTGCGATGATGTCTCACCAGCAGCCACAGCCTATAAACAGAGAGAGGTAAAGCAGATGGGTCAACAGCCAAGCACTTCGGGGAATTGGGCCTCGGGGCGGGCAGGCGGGCACTGTGCCTCAGATGTCAGGTTGGCTGTGGATCATGGAGGGGCCAGGGGAAAGAGGGGAGCTGGCTGGGGCCAAGAGGCCCTGAGGGTCAAATGATATGCGCGACGGGAAAGCAAAAAATATATATTTATATATCTATCAAAACCGTCTGTCCCACTCCCATCCGGAGGTGGGGGGTACGTGGGGAGGGTAACGGGGCAAAAAGGGGAGATGTGTAACAGGCAGCCCAACCCAGCCAAGGTGGACTCACCACCACGCCGACTGCTCCAAGCTCCATGTTCCTCCAGCTCTTCAACAGGTCATACAACACACACACAACACAAAACAACACAATACGTGCCCCGGGGGGCTCACAGCACAGGCTTACGTTGGTACTCCTGTTGCAGGAAGCTCTGAGATATTAAGATCTGTTGATTTACAGATAGCCCTGGCTATAGATAGCCCTGCGCAAAGAGGAATGGGCTCCCTCTCTGAAACAATATTTCCATAACCAACACTCTTGCCATTTACAGGTCGTCCTCGTTTAGCAACCACAACAGGGACCAGCAATGCGGCCGTTAAGCGAAGTGGTTGCTCAGTGAAACTGCAGCTATGCTTACAATCTTCCTTCCACTTTCCTTTGCTTTACAGGCCTGTGAAGGTCATCAATGCGAGAACTGGTCGCCAACTTACTTTTTCACCACCGTCGTAACTGTGAACGGTCACTAAACAAGGCAGTCACTAAACGAGGATGACCTGTAGTGACTTGGGAAAGAGGGCTGAAGCAACAGGAAGAGGGGAGATTTTAAGAAGCTTCCTTTGGGCGTGGCAGCTGCCCCACCGTTGGTACCAATCTTGTAAGATCTCTTCCCATTCCCGAAGCAGGCCAACCATCGCTCAAGGCCCGCTTTTTACGCACCTTTAATAAAAGTGAGGTCCGTAAGTAGCTTCACTTCTTGGCTCACGTCCACCTGGAAATGGCTGAAGGAGGCGCTGGCCGCTGGCCGGAACGCCTGGAGCGAATCGGTCGCCCTGAGGATCCTGCCGGCAGGAGGGAGCAGCCAAGATGGGGGCAGAGAGACAGAGGAAAAAATCGTCTCTGAACATAGATCAATACCCATCGCTCACTTGATTGCACCAGATATACGCATATATTTATATTATACTACAGGGAGTCCCTGGGTTAAGAAGGCCTGATTTACGGACGACCCGTAAGGCGCTGGCCGGGGGCCGGACCCCCTGGAGCGAATCGTTCCCCCTGAGGATCCGGCCGGCGGGAGGGAGCAGCCAAGATGGGGGCAGAGAGACAGAGGAAAAAATCGTCTCTGAACATAGATCAATACCCATCGCTCACTTGATTGCACCAGATATACGCATATATTTATATTATACTACAGGGAGTCCCTGGGTTAAGAAGGCCTGATTTACGGACGACCCGTAGATAAGACGGAGTCTACTGTAGCAAAATTGGAGTTAAAGACACAATGATGCACGTTAAATACACAACGATTCGAGCTCATTACACAATACTACTTATACAGTATTATACAATAATAGTGTTCCAGCTTACGTACAAATTCGACTTAAGGACAAAGCTTGGGAACGGAACTCGTCTTAAACTGGGGACTCCCTGTATGTTAAAACGCAATTAAGGCTTTGGAGGAACAGAGAGACAGAATGCTTGCATTTGCTTGCTCGACAGCCCTTGATGAGCCCTCGCAGCCAGTAATAAAATCTGTGGATATCAGGCCCCGTTAAAAAGTGGGGTGCTTTTTGTTACTGACCCTAATAAACTTTTGCTCAATGATTTCCTTGGCGGTGAATCGTTAATTAACAAGCGGTTATACCCCAAGGTTTTTGCTGCTTAGTTGAAAACAACTTTTGCTAATCAGCTGCTCCCCAGACCTGTTTCCCAGAATCCCCACCTAGGGTGGCCTGGAGCATTATGGGGGCTGTAGTACAATGCATATGGAAGCTGTGGTCCAAAGCACATGAAAAGCACAGGCTGCAGAAATCCAGTTTAAAAGGTGACGCAAAGCTTCTAAACGTAAGCGGGTTAGCGAGCGTGCAAGAGAACAGAACTCCTTTTGTGTTACAAAAAGGACAGTCCTCTTAAAATTGGCACCTGTCAATCGTTTTTGGAGGCTTCTTGCTCCTTGCCACCTTCCCCGTCACTGTCACCAACCCCGTCAGGTCATTACACCCTCCACAAACCAGTGATTAAACGGGCCTCGTCTAAAGCACGACTGCTTACGACAAGCCAGAAATCCTTTTCTTGAAAATTGCTGCTGGTGGACTAGACATTTGTCCTTGATCAGAAGCGTCCGTGACTACGGGTCATTTTATTTTTCCCTCCAGTTTCCCTTTCAACAGATTTCACGATTTCTAATCTATTTCTTTTTTTTAAGAACCCCGCACTGCGCGGAAGGCACCTGTGGTGAAGCTGTTTGGCGGCCTGGACGAAGCAGGGCTGGTCGGTTTCCTTCAAGACTTCCTGCGAGTAGCCCACCATACCCGAATTCTCCATCATGGCCCGATGCTCCTGAAGCTGGGCCTGCAGGTTGGAGACTCGGTCTTGACGACAATCCTCGATAGCGCTGAGCAAAGCCGCTCGCTTGTCTTCCAGCAGGTTGCTCAAACTGTTCATCAGCCGCGTCACCTCTTCCTTCGCCTGGGTGCCGTTCACCTGCAAGGAAGTGACCAACCATTCGCCAAACGGGTGCCCCAATCAAGGACCCCGTTCCCTCCTCTGCTCAGATATTTCGCCTGTAAAAGGCGGTATCCCTCTCTGAACAAATTCGTTCAACCTCTGGGTTCTTCTGAAGGACAGAAAGCAGAGGGGGGACTAGGACAGGAAGCACCTAACTCGTACCCTGAATTTTTCTTGTTGTTTGGACCAGGACAGGAAGTGCCAAACTCATACCCCGAATTTTTCTCGTTTGCGACGGGCTTCAATCCCGAGAGGATAACGAAGAAAGTTACCCTACCTCTGTGAGCCGAAGAGTCTCTTCCAGTTCGTTGATTTGAGCCTGCACCGTGTCTTGATTGCTCAGGATGAAAGCAAGGCTTTTGGTCAACTTTTCCTGTGAGTGAGAAAAAAAGGTGAAGCTGCGGGGCAGCGGGCTGCGATCCCACAGTCCCTTGATCTCCCCATTAGTCCCGAAGATTAAAAATCCTCTCAAAACTCTCGTCGATAAAGATTCCTTTTGCAAAGGGTTATCATATCTCGTGGCAAAGTCAACGACTCTAGCGAGGAAGCATTTGGAATCTGGCTTTTCGATTGCAGAGGAAATTTTAAGAGGAAAAAGTCTGGTTTCGTTGCATGTTAAAACAGGAGCCTTGCTCCCAGAATCCACCCCGGGTCCCGTGGACCATCCTGAGTCCGGGTTGAATTTCCCAACACCCTGGGGGGCTTTCCCTGCCAGAAGCCATCAATCCAAGATCATGTTTTGCTTTTTTTGTTTTAATTTAGGGCTTCTACTCTGTGGCCAATCAAGTTCAAGGACTTGGGGACGGAAAGAGAAAAAGGGAACAGACGTTCTCCAAAAGTCTCACCTTGAGCGCCTGGTAGGCGCTGAGCACAGGTGTGATTTTATGGCTCGTGTGCGTGCGACGAACTCGACATAACTGGCACACCAAACGCTGGCAGGTTTTGCAATAATGAGTCACTTCTTCTCGGTGTTCTGGGCACAGCAGACCCTGAGAAGGAGACAAACCAAAGCAGGCTGGAGTGCCTCGCAGCCAGGTTGGACCCACAAATTGTGCAAGAACAGGAAAAATAGGATGCTATACAGGTCATCCTAATTTAGTGACTGCCTCGTTTAGTGACCGTTTGCAGTTACGACGGTGATGAAAAAGTAACTTTACGACCAATCCTCGTATTTACGACCTTCACAGGTCTGTCAAGCAAAGGAAAGCGGAAGGAAGATTGCAAGCATCGTCGTGGTTTCACTTAGCGACTGCTTTGCTTAATGACTGAATTGCCAGTCCCCACTGTGGTTACTAAATGAGGACTACCTGTATACGCTGTCTCAAGTTCCTGAATGAAAGGCAGGATATATATCTAACAAATAAACAGATAAACGTTGTCTTCGGTAAAGGAATTTTGGGGCACATTTTGAGCCCCTGAAGGTGAAAGGGGACCTCTACCTTGGGCCGGAAAGTGAGCGTCGGAGGGATGGGCTCGTGCTGTGCTTTCTGGGTGCCCCATGGGTGATAGAGTTTGAAGCACTCATTGCAAAAGCTGGATCGGCACTCGGTGCAGCCCTTGGTGGCTTCCAGCTGCGGTGGCTTGCAGAACTGGCACATGATGGCCGCGCTGACGTTGATGGTGTGGCGGTAACGCTCAACCACACGCTCCAGCGTCAGGTTCCGGAAAAGACTGCTCAAACCGCGCTCGCCCAGGTCCACGTCTCGCTGGCACAACGGGCACGGGAAGAGCACACTCTGGGGGTGCAAGATGCCGCCTCGTTTCCGCCCGGGGTACGTGCCGAAACCTGGATGGGATGGAAGGCGGTGGGGACGTCATTGCAGAGGACAAATTTGTTCTTAACATTACACAGGAGATGGACCGAGCTTGACAAAGGACAGAAAAAGAGAACCGCCCTGGGCTGGAGCAGCCTATCTCTAAACACCCAGACGGAAAGGTCCGTTCGGGGATCTTCTCTCTCCCACAGCTCTGCTCTTTCTGAATTCCTCTGCAAATTTTGATTATGAGCCTTCAAGCCGGTGTCCACTCTCAGCAACCATATAGGTAGACCTTCTCCAGGGTCATCTGTCCCCACCTTGGCCCTTCAGGTCTTACCATTACGACCAAGCTCACAACGCACATTTTCTTGCACTCTCTGTGGGTGGCGCTTCCGTGCCGCGGAACGGGAGCCTGAAACCTTTCTAATGCTGCTGAACTACAGCTCCCAGCCTCCCTCAGCTGTTCGAAGGCTGCTGGGAGTTGTAGTCCGACAGTCTCAGAAGGGCCGGGATCTGAGACTTCATAAAGCAAACCCCTCTTCGGGTCCCATCGCCAAAGATTCCCAAAGATCCGATCAGCCTTCCAAAAGGCGTACCTGATTTGAGAAGCCTGTCCAGGCGCTCTGGTTTCGGCACGACCCGGCGGCCTAGACGAGGGCTCCGGGTGGCTGGGGTGGAAGCCGGGGACGTTGGCTCCGAAGTGGGGTCTGCACAGATGTAACCCTGCTGCAGCAGGACTTCGGTGGCGCAGATGTGACAGACGTTGTGCATGCAAGGCAAAACCAAAGGCTGTTTGTACATTTCCTTGCAAAGTGGGCACAGCAGTTCTCTTTCCATGTTCTTCATGCTGGTCTGCAAAAAAAAAAAAAAGGAGGGGGGAGAGGTGGGAGGGAGAAGCAAGGTTGGGGGGAAAAAAAGCAATTTCTGCAAATAATGCTCTGCTTTGGCGCTATGGCCCTTCCATAAGAGCCGCTCGGCTGCCAGGGACCTTTGTAAGCGGCGAAAGATTTACGGGATCTGCTGCTCAAGACGGCGGGACTTGCAATCCAAATTGCTAAATAAACGCCTTCGCTCGAGCTGGAACCCAGATCCCCCAAGTAAGTCAAACATCGTAACCGTGACTCCATCCTGGCTTCCTAAGAATAACACCAAGCTGTCCTACAGCTCAAGGGAGCGTTTCAGAGACTGTCTGGAACGCGCCCAATCAACCTGAAAGAGGGACATGTTAAAAATAAATAACGTTTTCTCTCTCCCGATCCTCATGGAAGAACTCAACGGGCCGCCACTCAGCCAGGCAGCCTTAGGAGAACTTCCCTGTCCAGGGGCAGTCTATCTGAGAAGACCAGGTTCAGATGGATTCCAGGCTCAGCCAAAAAACAAAACAAAAACAGCATGGCTATGAACCTGGGTGCTTTGCAGGGGGGAGAACAAGATTCGCCCCCCAAGATCTAAAAATGACTCGAACTTCCGCTCTGTCTAGGATCAAGGGCAGACAGGAGGCCTCTCTCTTTCTAGGTATGCCCTCTGACCCCCAGCCTGTAGGATGGCCAATTTCTCCCCATTGCTGGGCATGGAAGGATGCCCCCCCCTGCCAGCAGCTTGGCTGCTTGCCCGGTCCCTCTGCCATGAGCCATTCAAGGGCATTCCTGCCGTCCCACTGGGATGTCCCCGTGCTCAGCGCACCTCTGGCCGTGCTAGCCTTCCCCCCACCCTGCCCTCCTATGCAAGGGGCTCCAAGTTTCAAGCACGAGATGGAAGCCCCTTGCCGCAAACTCAACCCTTGCAAGGCGAAGTGGGATGGCCAAGCCCGACCCCACTCAAAGCCAAGCAGGGGGGGAACGGGCCTCCCTTTTGGGGCGGGCAGCGGGACACGGTCTCACCTTGCCCGCCCTCTGCCTGGGTGCCATTTCCCTCCCCGGCGCGCGCATGCGAAAAGGGAAAAAGCCGAGAGGGAGAAGGGCGGGGAGGGAGGGGGGAGAGCGCGAGCTGAGGCTGGACCACGGCCTGGGAAGCGGGCGGGAGGAGGTTGCCATGGCGACGGCGGCTGTGCTCGGATGCTCTCAGCATCCTCGCTTCGCCCGGAGGGAGAAGGAGGGAGAAGCAAGACGCTC